GTAAGATGATCATTTTCACAGTATTAATTCTTCCAATCCCTGAGCATGGGAAGTCTTCCATCTCTTGGTGTCTGTCTTAATCTCTTTAAGTATTTAAAATTTTCATTGTAGTTATCTTTGATGTCTTTGGTTAGGTTATTCCAAGATTTTTTTTTTTTTTGAGGTGATTGTGAATGGGAGGGTTTCCATGTACTCTTTTACCAATTGCTTGTTATTGGTATATAGAAAGGCTACTGATTTTTGTAGATTGATTTTATAACCTGCCACTATACTGAAAGTGTTGCTCAGTTCTAGGAGTTTTCTGGTGGAACTTTTGGGATCTCTTAGGTATAGTATCATATCATCTGCAAAAAGTGATAGTTTGACCTCTTCTTTTCCAATTAGTGCTCCTTTAATTTCCTTCTCCTCTCTTATTCCTCTAGCAAGAGTTCAAGCACTGTGTTGAAAAGGAGTGGAGATAGTGGACATCCTTGTCTGGTTCCTGATTTTAATGGGAATGCTTCCAGTTTTTCTCCATTTAGAATGATGTTGGCTGTGGGTTTGTTGTATATAGCATTAATTATGTTGAGGTATGTTCCTCCAGTCCAATACCCTTTAGAACTTTTATCACGAATGCATGCTGAATTTTGTCAAAAGCCTTTTCTGCATCTATTGAGATGAGGATGTGGTTTTTTGTCTTTGAGTCCATTTATATGATTAATGACGTTCATTGACTTGCATTGAACCAGCCCTACAATCTCTGGGATAAAGCCTACTTGATCATGGTGAATGATCTTTTTGATGTGTGTCTATATGCAATTTGCAAATATTTTGTTGAAAATTTTTTCGTCTGTGTTCATTAAGTGTATGGGTCTATAGTTTTCTTTTTTGGTTGTATCTTTACCTGCTTTTTGTATTAGAATGATGCTGGCTTAATAGAAGGAATTTGGGAGTTCTCCCACTGTTTTTGTCATTTTGAATAATTGAAGTAGTTTTGGTTAGAGGTCTTCTTTAAATGTCTGGTGAAATTCTGCTGTAAATCCATCTGGGCCTAGGATTTTTTTAGTCAGGAGGCTTTATATTACTGTTTCAATTTCCTTATGTATTATAGGTCTGTTTAAACTGTTGATCTCTTCTTGGTTTAATTTTGGTGGTTCCTGTGGTTTTAGATATCCATCCATTTCTTTTAGGTTCTCAAATTTAATAGAGTATAGGTTTTTAAAGTATTCCCTTAAAATGTTCTGCATCTTTTGGGTCTCTGTTGTGATGTTTCCCCTTTCATCTCTGATTTTGTTAATTTGGATTTGCTCTTCTTTCTTTTGATTTACTGGGCTAAGAGTCTGTCTATCTTATTTAGCATTTCAAAGAAGCAGCTTTTAGATTCATTGATGCTTTGTATTATTTTCTTTGTTTCCCTTTCATTAATTTCTGCTTTGATTTTTGTTATTTTTTCTCATCTGCAGGATTTGGTCCTATTTGTTCTTACCTTTCCAGAGTCTTGAGTTGCAGTGTTAAGAAGTCATTTATTTGTGCTCTTTCTGGTTTTTAATTTTTATTTATTTTTTATTTTATGTGTATGCATGTATTGCCCACATGTACGTAAGTGCACCCATGTCGTGAAATGCCCGCGGAGGTCAGAAGAGGCTGTCAGATCCCCTGGGACTGGAGTTACAGTTATTAGCTGCCATGTGAATACTGGGACTCAAACTCAGGTCTTCTGTAAGAACAACCAGTGTTCTTAACCTCTGAGCCATCTCTCTAGCCCTCTTTCTGTTTTTTTTATTGTAGGCACTTAGAGCTATAAACTTCCCTTTTAGGACTGCTTTTAAAGGGTCCCAGATGTTTTGTTGTGTTGTATTGTCCTTTTCATTGAATTCCAGGAATTCTTTTATTTCTTTCTTAATTTCTCCTTCAACCCACTCATCATTCAGGAGTCTGTTGCTTAAATTCCATGAGTTTGTGTAGTGACTAGGGCTTTTTGAACTAGTGTTGATTTTAAGTTTTATTGCATTGTGGTCTGATAGAATGCATGGAATTACTTCAATTTTTTTCATATTTGTTGAGGTTTGTTTTGTGCCCCAGTATGTGGTCAATTTTTGAGAAAGTTCCATGGGGTGTTGAATAGAAAGTGTATTCTTTGGTGCTTGGGTGGAATATTTGGAACATGTCTGTCAGGTCCGTTTGATGTATGGTCTTAATTTAGATGCCTCTCTGCTTATTCTTTGTCTGGTTGAGCTAATGGAGACCGTGGGGCATTGAAGTCCCCTACTATTACTGAATTGAGGTTAATCTGTGTCATCTTCTTGGTTACTTGTTCCTTTGATCAGAATGAAGTGACCCTCTTTATCTCTTCTGATTAGTTTTAGTTTGAAATTTATATTGTCAGATATTAGAATTGCAGTTCTTGCTTGCTTCTTAGTGCCATTTGCCTGAAATATTCTTTTCCATCCTTTAAATAGTACCTTAAAATAATGCCTGTCCTTGAAGGTGAGATGAGTTTCTTCCAGACAACAAAAGAAAGGATTTTGTTTTTTAATCTATTCAGCTAGCCTGTGTCTTTTGACTAGGGAACTGAGTCCATTGATAGTTAAAGCTGTTATTGAAAGATGTATATTAGTTGCTATCACTTTGATTTCTGTTTGCATTCTTTGTCTAATTTTGCATTTTCCATAATTATACCTTTGTTTAGTTTCTTCTGTTGCCCCAGGGATATAGTTGTTCCTTTCTCTGTTCTTTGTATTGCTTCAAGTATTCTTTGAAGGGCAACTTTTTAAACATGTCTTCTTTCAGCCTATTGGTTTTGTGGAAGATTTTTCTTTCCCCTTCAACTATAATAGACATTTTTGTTTTGTTTTGTTTGTCTTTTTGAAGCAGGGTCTCCTTTTAGCCCCAGCTGTCCTGGAACTCACTATGTAGACCAGGCTGGCCCTGAACTCACAGAGATCCGCCTGCCTCTGCCTCCCAAGTGCTGGGACTACAGGTGTGTGCCACCATGCCTGGCTTATAATAGACATTTTTACTGGATAAATTATTCTGGGTTGACATCTGTGGTCATTCAGAACTGGAAATACCTTGGTCTAGGCTCTTGTGGCTTTCATAGTTTGCATTGATAAGTCAGCTGTAATTTTGATGGGCTTTCCTTTATTTCCTTTATTTCTGAGTTGTTGTTTTTGTTTTGCAGCTCTCAGTATTCTCTCTTTGTTCTGTATGTTTAGTGATATGCCATAGGGAGTTTCTTTTCTGGTCCTGTTTATTTGTTGTTCTGTGTGCTTCTTGTATTTATATGGGGATGTCTTTCCTTAATTTTGGGAAGTTCTCTTCTATAATCCTGTTTAAGATCTGGTCAGCCCTGTTAACCTGAAATTCTTCTCCTTCCTCTATTCCTGTGATCCATAGATTTGGTCTTTTCGTGGTGTCCCACATCTCCTGCATATTCTATTCCTGTGTTTTTGTTTTTTTTTTTAATTTTTCATAATTTTTTCTTGAGCAGCCCAGTTCTTCAACTTTATCCTCATTCTAGTGGTGAGGCTTTCTTCTGTTGTTTCAAATTGGCTTATTGAGCTTTTCACTTTCTTCATTTCAGCCTGAGTTTACTTCAATGTTTCTACCCCTTTTAATTCATTCAGAAGTTTATCCCTATCTTCTTTTAGTTCTTTGATTTGTTCATGTGTTCTTTAAATTTGCTGAATTCCTTGATCATGTTTATGATTGTTCTTTTAAATTCTGTGTCCTGAATTATCTCTAGGAGATTCTCCTTGTAGAACTCTTCTACAGGACTGGTGGAGTTTGGTTTTGGTTTTCCCTGCTATTATTTTTCTGTTGCAATTTTGGCATGTAGATTTCTTTTGTTTGTGATTCTGCTATGAAACTCAAGTCTTCCTTTGTTGAGTTGAAGTTTGCTTCTGCTTGTATTACTGGTGTGCCTTAGTTGTTTTCTTATTGGGAATGTAAAGTTGCTTGATCTAGGTTTCAGGTTCTCTCAGATTTTATTTTGGAGGGAGCTGATGGTTTCAGATCAGTTACTCAGGAGCTCCTACAGAGGCCCAAGTCAGGCTCTAGTCAGGTACATGCAGGCTTCCTTCTAATCTCTGGACCCTTACTAGCGGGACTCAGAGCATAATTTAGAAAGTTCACTAAGGGGAGGCCTCATTTTGGCACTCTCAGGCAGTCTTCAGAGTTTTTAGCCCTACGCCAGGCGGAGGCCAAATCAGGCCCTCTCAGGTCTCAGCCCTACCCTACTGTAGGGCAGAGAAGTCTACCCTGGGAGATATGGGAGGGGCCTCACATAATCCTGGTTAGAGGGTTGGGTGCATCTCGATTTGGGGAAGCTCACCACCACACGGAGACCAGATCTAGGCAGTCTGAGGAGGTCTGCTGAGGTCTCAGTCCCTACAAACCAGGTGGAGGCCACACCAGGCACTGTCAGGCAGTCTACTGTCTCTTTTTTTAACTGAAAACCAAATTGTATTGAGATACAAAGTAAGGACTGCATCTTCTTTTTGTTCAATATAATGAAACAGAATAAAATTGTTGGAAATTATTTCTTGCTTGATAATCTCATTAATTTAAGACCCTCTTCAAATTATCTCTAGGCTGTTTTCAAACATTTACTTTCTGTAATTCCTGCTTTCCTTGTACCCACCCACATACTTCTTAATTGTTCAGCTTTGCACATAAACATTGCCACCTCAGAGGATTTCTGTTTTCCTTCCTTGTGTATCCAAATCCATTATGCTTGGTGATCTCAGCTCAAATTGTAGAAATTTATTTTAAATACCTAGGTCACACCAATTATCCCATGACTCTTTTATGAATTCAGCACTTAAATATGTGATATTTGAGAACTACTGTTTGGTAAATATTCCTATATAGTTAGGGCATTTGTTTGTATGTATCATAATTATTTAACATATGCTTCACATGTATTATTTGCTTCTTACATGTAAGAACCCAATCTTAAAATGTGTTGTCTATAGTTCTATTATATACAAAATGACTATTTGATGGTTGGTTGATTGCAGGTGTATTTGGAAATCCAAATTCTGCACCAGCAACTTGCAGCCAACCAGTGATATCCTCTGTGGAAAACGAGAATATATTTTCTATTAAACAAAGCATTGAGCCACCAACAGGGATTTATGGAAGAGCAGTCCAACAAAATATTCCATCATATCTTGATGTTGAAAATGACAAAGATGTAAGATTATCTGTTAATCTTCAGTAAAATCTTAAGCCACGTTTAAATCTTAAGCACCAGGATTATAGGCATGCGCCACCAGTTTCAGCTAAAATTTTTAAATTTTGTGTGTGTGTGTGGAGTGGATTGTGTACTTGTGGAAGTTAGAACCTTACCTTCCACCTTGTTTGAAGCAAGGTCTCTTTGTTGCTTGCCACTTCACCATGTAGGCCAGGCTAGCTGGCATGTGAACTTCTGGGGATTCGTTCTACTGTCTCCACCTCCCATTTTGCTGTAGGAGAACTGAAATGATAGGTGTGTGTGCTACCACACCTGGCTTTGTGTGGGTTCTAGCATTCTGAGCTTGGGTCCTCATGCTTTTATACAGTGCTTTACCTACTGAGCCATCTCCCCAGCCCCTTGATTAAGAATCTAAAAATCGGCCAGATATGGTGGCACAGGCCTTTAATCCCAATCCCAGTGCTTGCTTGGGAGGCAAAGGCAGGTGGATCTCTGTGAGTTTGAGGCCAGCCTAGTCTACATACAGAGCTGTAGGCCAGCTGGGGTTAGCCTGGTCTACATGCAAAGCTCCAGGCCAGGTGGGGCTACAGGGAACCCTTGTCTCAAAAAGACCAAAAAAAAAAGGCCAACTCAAAAAAACAACAAAGAAACTGAAATCTTAAGTAACTGAAATTTCTGATCTGTAATCATTTTACCCTTGTGTCAAAAAGACCCAACCCCCCCCCCGAAATCCTAAAGTAATTGAAATTTCTGATCTGTACTCATTTCAATAGGTGACATACTATGTAATATACTTTGTGTTATACATAAACCTTATATAATATGCTTGTCAGTGTATCTATTCAGCAGTTTCCTAGGATATTTGCTCTTAGTGACAGACTGATTACCCTTAGGCACAAAATTAATGGGATCTTAGCACTATGTAATTCCTTTTAGATTTTAGTGTTCCTAAAATAATGATTCAAAATACGTAGTTTGGTCCAGAAGCAATAGTTTGTGCCTGTAATCCTAGCACTTGTGGAGGCAGAGGCAGGAGAGTCATGAGTTCAAGGACATCCTTGGCTGAGTAGAGATTTCCAGACCAATCTGGACTATATGAAGCTTGTCTCAAAACAAAAACAAATTATAGCTTGTTTTATACAGAATTTAGTATATACAAACACAGTTTTCTATGATAAAAATATTTTAAAATGTCAAACTTCCTGACCTGAATACTTCCAGATATTTCAACTTTTTCATGCAGACAAAAGTTTCTATTGCAAAATCTACATATGACAAAATGAAACAAAAGAGAAAAGAAGAAAAAGAACTTTTTGATACTAAAGATTGTGAGAGGAAAGAGCAAAGTCCCTGGGAAAGAATAAAACATGCAGGAACTGAGAAAATGACATCTGAAAGTAAGTGGAATTTGCCTTTTGTCTTTATTTGGTAATATTCCAGAGCTGCATTAATATGACTTAATTGGCCACAGTATAGAACTAAGTGAACTTTATTGACTTACAACACTGTAATTTGCTATGTAGGACTTGAAACTTGAAAGACCCAGTAGCTTATATTATAATATTAGTTCTTTTTTACTGGAGAGATGACTCAGAGTTAACCTCTGAGCACTGACTGCGGAGGATCCAGGTTCAGTTCCCAGCACCCACATGGTGGCTAACAACCATCCTTAACTCCAGTTCCAGGGGATCTGATTGATGCTCTTTTCTAACCTCCTTGGGCATTGCACAGCACAGGTGCAACACACATGTAGGCAATACACTCAATACACATAAATAAGTAAATAAAATGTTTTTTTTAATGTATTCTTTTTCATAAATATAAAAATGATTTTTTTTTCTTCTAGACTTAACTGTTTTTAGAGATAATGTAAGAATGTCAGAAAGTGAGGGATTTCCTTTTAGAGAACATTGCTTTCAGCCCTTCAATAAAAGGAGGATCCATGGGCTAGCAAGATGATGGCTTAGCTGGTAAAAGTACTTGTTGCCAAATCTGACAACCTGAGTTTGATCCCCAGAACCCATTATGATTGATGGACAGAACTAACTCCTGCGAGCTGTCCTCAGACCTTCACACAGGTACTACAGCATGCACACATAGAAACACATACACACACACACACACACACATTAAATATTTTGTAAAAAAGTTTTTTTTTTAAAAAGGAAGGTCTAAAGCCAGGTGTGGTGGTGCACGCATCCCAGCACTCGGGAGGCAGAGGCAGGCGGATCTCTGTGAGTTCAAGGCCAGCCTGGTCTACATAGTGATTTCCAGGACAGCTGGGGCTACAGGGAGACCCTGTCTCAAAAAAGACCAAAAAAAAAAAAAAAAAGGAAGGTTTAGTTTAAAGTGCTCACCTCTTTAGTGTTTTCAATTTTGCATAAGTCACTTATAAGGCAGACTAATTTCTTGAATACTTATTAAGATAAAAGAGACCTTGACTGGAGAGATGGCTCAGCAGTTAAGAGCGCTGGCTGCTCTTGCAGAGAACCTGGGTTTGGTTCCCAGCACTTACATGGTGGCTAACAACTGTCCTAACTCCAGTTTCCTCTTCTGACTTCTGCAGGCATTCCATGACATGGGTGTGCTTGCATACATGCAGGCAATACAGTGATATACATGAAAAATAAAATAATAAAATATTTTTTAGAAAAAGATAAAAGAGATCACAGGTAGTCCAGTGTGTTTGTGACAGAGCACTAAGGAATCAGTAGACAAATCCAGTTTCTTAAGTTTTAGTTCTGCTTTTGATTAGTTCTAAGACCTGGAAACAGATCTCAGTTTTCTGTGTGTGTAAATATTTGAATTATCTCAATATCCAGAGTAAATCAAGAATCTTTTCCATAGTCACTGGAAATATGTCTTTCTCACTAAGGAATAGTATTCTAAGCTAAGATAGTGAACTTAGTTCATATCAAATCATGATCAAAAAAGTCACTCTAGGACCAATGAAATGGCTCAGTGGAAAGGTGTTTGCTGCCAGGCCTAATGACCTGAGTTTGATCCCTAGGACAACCTTCATGGTAGAAAGTGAGAACCAACTCTCACAAGTTGTCTTTTGAACTCCACCCCCACATGTGGTATGCATGCATACACACCTGCACACACACACATGCACTAAATTAATTAAAAAAAAAATTTTTTTTGGTCTTTTTGAGACAGGGTCTCCCTATAGCCCCAGCTGTCCTGGAACTCACTATGTAGACCAGGCTGGCCTTGAACTCACAGAGATCCAGCTGCCTCTGTCTCCCAAGTGCTGGGATTAAAGGCATGAATTTTAAGTCAGTCTATTTATCATTAATTCAGTTTGTCCTTGAGTACTCCTATACTTAGTTAAGAGTAGGTGCCATGTTTCCTGGCTTTGTTTTTTGTTGTGTGTGAGTGTGTGTGTGTGTGTATGTGTGTGTGTGTGTGTGTGTGTGTGTGTGTGTGTACATTTTATAGTGGGGGAGTAGTTGAGGTTTGAAATAGGAGTCCTATCCAAGGACACACACTCTGCAGTCTCTTATTCTCTACAACTGAGCCAGTGTGGCCTTTTGTGTGTATTACACTCTATTACATAAGGAAGCTTCACTGGTGAGAGTTGAGGGATGCACTAGTATTCTCTTCATCCCCTGTTCCACTATGGTCCATGAGCCTTAGTTGTGGAGGTTTCACTGTAGATATGTGACCTAAGGCTGGGTATCTCTCAGAAAAATATTCTTTGTATGTCACCAGTTGTGGAGCTTTGCAGTAGCCACCATCCGTTGCATAAAGTAATGTATTTTGTGAGTGGTATTCTGTATACTTGTCTCTAAATGTAAGGATCCATATTTAGCATATGGTAAGAAATTTCATTTGTCTAGTGATAAGCTAAAGATAGGGTTTTTTCTAGGATCTGCAATCTCTCCAGCCATGTATATTGACTATAATTACAGTGCCACCCATGCGTTCACTCTCATTGATAGATAGTTGTTGATTATCCCCCAGACAACAGTGCCACTACTGCACTAATAGAGGTAGTTCACTGTGCCAGCCATTATGTTTATTTGATTTTAGGACTGGATTGAACCCCTGACTGATTTTCTTCCGGAGCAGCTTGCCTAGTATTCTCTAGAACTGTGAGAGCTAGTCTCAGGGAAAAGGCTTCCAAGTCCGTTCCTGCTCCATGCTCCAAGTCCTGTGTCCAAATTATGACCTGTCTTCAGCAGTAGGGTCTTACCTTCGAGTTCTGGGAGATAACCAAGGACTCCAGCAATAGCCTCTGTTATTTTGGGAGACTCTTAAACTACTCTGACCAACCACTCAAAGAGAGGTCTGTCTTGTATGACACTATGCTCCTTGCCGTACAGCCCCAGGGTACACTCTTGCACTGTATATGTATTTCTCAGGGGGTTCACAAGCCAACACAATTCCCTCTGTGTTTCCACACTACCCCCAATCCATTCCTCTCTCCTCTCTCTCCCTGTCCAACCTCCCTCCTCCCTCCCAGTCTTAGTGCCCCCATTATGTCCACCCTCCCCCATGAGTTCCCTTCTCCCCAACCCCCATTGTCCCCTGCAGTTCCCTCCCTCTCTCCTCCCAGTCAAACACTCCCATTTTCCCCACTTCCCTCTGGTAACACATGTTCCCCAATATTTACCCCTCTTGGGCTATTTTCTTTCCCTTCCCTTTATCTCTGTTTCCTTTCCAGTTTTCCTGACTCCAGCTGTTACATCAGGATATATACATACATGTAAGGAATTGGTGTTAACGATCCACAAATGAAGGAGAACAGAGATCACTTGCTTTTCTGAGTTTGTGTTACTTCACTTAATATAAGTCTCTAGTTCCATCCATTTACTTGCAAATTTCATAATTTCATATTTTCTAACTGCTGAGTAGAACTCCATTGTGTAAATGTACCACATTTTCATTATCCACTCATCAGTTGAGAGACATTTAGGTTGTTTCTATTTCTTAAATATAGAGAAAAGAGCAGCAACAAACATGAATATACAGGTATCTTGACAGTATGATGAGTCCTTTGGATATATGCCAAGGAGTAGTATAATAAGATCTTTTAGTAGATTCATTTTTTAGTTTTGTAAAGAGTTCTCTGGCAGGGTGTGGTGGCGCACACCTTCAGTTCCAGCAGAGGCAGCCAGGTGGATCTCTTCTGTGAGATCAAGGCCAGCCTGGCCTAATGAGTTCCAGGCCAGCTGGGTTTTAGAGAGACCCTGTCTCAAAAAGACAAAAAAAAAGTTCTTCATACTGGTTTCTGTAGTAGTTGCATGAGTGCAATCCCACCAGGAGTGAATGAGCTTTCCGCTTTCTCCACATCCTAGCCAGCACTTGATATCTGACTTGGGTAAGATGGACTCATAAAGTGGTTTTTTTATCTGCATTTCTCTAATTACTAAGGATGTTGAGCACTTTTTAAGGTGCTTCTTAGTCTTTTTTGTTTCTTCATTTGAAAACTTTATGTGCAGATTCATAGCCCATAGCCCATGTTTCTATTGGGTCATTTGTTTTCTTGTTTGTTTTTTGAGTTCTTCGTATATTCTGGATATCCTCTGTCAGATGTGTGGCATATGAAGACTTTCTCCCACTCGATGGGCTTCCTCTTCCCTTCCTTGGTTGTTTCTTATGCTATACAGAAGGTTTGTTGCTTAATGAGGTCCCACTTATTGATTGTTGATCTTAATGTCTGAGCAGCTGATGTCCTATGCTTTTTTCTAGCAGTTTCAGGTTTTACATATGAGGTCTTTGATCCATTTGGAGTTGACTTTTGTGCATGGTGAAAGATGAGGTTCCAATTTCATTCCTCTACAAGTGGAGATCCAGTTTTGCCAGCACCATTTGTTGAAGATGCCGTCTTTCCTCCATTGTGTGCTCTTTGCAACTTTGTCAAATATCAGGTGTCTAAAATTGCATGTACTCAGGTTTGAGTCTTTGATTGTGTTTCATTGATCTGTGGGTCTATTTTTGTGTCAGTACCGTGCTGCTTTTATGACTATAGCTCTGTAATACAATCTGAGATATAGTATGGTGATCCCCCTAGAATTGTTCTTTTTGCCCAAGATTGCTTTGGATGTCTGGGGTCTTTTGTGATTCTATATGAATTTTTTAAAATTATTTATTTAATAACTACATGATTAGAAGAAGCATTTCATTATAGCATTAATATATTCAATAACAATTTCTAGAGCAAAGATGCATCTCTTTCAAAATTGGCTGTAAGTTTTTAGGTTCACAGTTGAATTAATACAGTTATATAACATTAATCTCTATATATCTGATTATTACTAGTC